ATCTTTCTTTCATCTCTTGTGCCTGTCCCAGAGCCAATGTTCTTTTGGAAGGTCTTAGAGACCACTGTCTCTGTATTAGTTTCTTGTTGCTGCTATAACAAATGATCACAAACTTAGTGACTTAACACACAAATTTATTATCTCATAGTTGTAAAGAGTAGAAGTTCTAAAATCAAGATGTTGGTAGGGCTACATTCCTACTAGATTTATTAGGGGATAATTTGATTCTTTGCTTTTTCTAGCTTCTAGAGGCATTCCTTGGCTTGTGATCCCTTCCTTCATGTTCAAAGTCAGCAGCATAGCTCTTCAAATATCTCTATTAACTCTTCTTCCTTTATAACACATCCTCTGACTTTAACCTTCTTGCTGCCTCCTCCTAAGGATGCTTGTAATTACATTAGGCCCACCAGATAACCCAGGATAATCTTTCCATTGTAAGATCCTTCACTTAATGATGTTGCAAAATCTCTTTTGCCCTGTAAGAGAATATTCACAGTTTCCAAAGACTAGGACATGGACATATTTGAGTGTCATTATTCTGCTGACCACAGTCTCCAAACTACATTTGAGAGACACATGACTCCTTCCTTTTCTCTAGACCGGAATAATAACGTGTTCTGATGAAAAATAATGTATTCTTGTTATTAAGATGCTTATTTATGTTTGTTTGCCAATTTGTTCTGTACATTATGAAATATATCCTTCTGGACAATGTTTAATAGATGAGGTATTAATAAATGTAAATAGAAGATGTCATTTTCCCCACAGCCAGCGGATTGCTTACTACACTCACGGTGGGTACCAAGCCCTCTTTAGAGACCACTGTCCTGGACCATCCTTTTTCTAGGTTCACTGCCAATCACTGTCCTGAACATTCCTTTCTTCTGTTAGTAGGATGTGCTATTTATAGGGTAGAAGGCACTTGAGCTCCAGTATAATGAGGTTGTTAACTGCATAGGTATTTACGTCTGTCAGACAGGTTCAAATCCCAGCTCCACCAATACCACCTGTTCAACCTCCATCACATTGCTCAACCCCATAGGCCTCAGTTTTTTCACTGGTAATATGCATAATGTCTACCTCATAGGGTTGCTTGTGAGGATTAAATGTTCAATGTGAGGCCGGGTTCACTCCTGCTATATCCTAGTACTTTGGAGGCCAAGGTGGGTGGATCACTTGAGGCCAGGAGTTTGAGACTGGTCTGGCCAATAGCAAGACCCCGTCTCTACTAAAAATGCAAAAAATTGGTGATTCACACTTGTAATCCCAGCTACTTGGGAGGCTGAGGCATGAGTATTTAAATATACATAATTCCGTATTTCTGTATGAGAGAACCCAGGAGGTGGAGGTTGCAGCAAACCAAGATCGCACCACTGCACTCCAGCCTGGGCGACAGAGCGAGACTCTGTCTCAAAAATAAATAAATAAATAATGTTCAATGGAATTTTAATAATAATATGATATCAGATTTATACTCTTTGAAGTTTAATATTAGGATCTTTCATGGAATTTAGTCTTACTTGTGCTCAGCACCCATTTTCTGACTTATTTTTAGGTTGGTTACCCCCAATTAAGGCCACTTTTAATGTCTGTGTGTTGATTCCTTTGAATATCGTTCCTGGGGCTTCCATAACACAAAGTACCACAAACTTAAAACAACAGAACTTTTTATTCTCTCTCAGTTCTGGAGGGCAGAAGTCTGAGAGGGGCTAGCAGGGCCATGCTTTCCTTGGAGGCTCTAGAGGAGAACTCTTCCTTGCCTCTTCCTAGCTTCTGGAACTCCAGGGATTCCCTGGCTTATGACAGCATCACTCCAGCTTCTCCTGCCTTCACATGACCTTCTCTGCCTTGTGTCTCTCTGTGACCCCTTCTCTTAAGGACACCAATCATAGATTTAGGGCCTCCCCTAAATGTAGAATGATTTCCCCTTAAGAGCTTAACTAATTACATCTGCAGAGATACTATTTCTAAACAATGTCACAGTCTGAGTTTCTGGGTGGATGTGATGTGGTGGGGAGAGGGGTAGTGATACTATGCTACTCATTATACTTCCCTCTTACAGAATTGCTTTGCTAGCAAGTTCTGGGAGGCTCCTGCCTTTGTCTCAATGTACATGTGTCAGAGCTCGGGGCCTTGAGAGTCTGAGGGCTGGAGGAACACAGACAACCTGGAAGTCAGTAGTTTTGCCTTGCGTAACCCCCATCCCCTCGCCACTGCCATGGCTACTTTTCGCAAGGAAGAAAAATCACCATCAACTTATGCTCAGTGTTGCCATTCTGTGTACAGCCCTGTAGCCCTTGGAGTGCTTCTCATTTGGGCTTTCAGCATCTTCATAAGAAGAACAAGAAGGAAAAAAATGCTGTTTGGTATCACGCAGCAGCATTTGTGTTTGCAAAATGTCTCTCCCATTAGACAATTCCAATTTAAAATACAGATTAGCTCTGACAAAACTGACCCAGGCCGGCTTTTCCCTTTGATGGTTTCCATTTCAGGTGTATTCATCACAAATCATTGTAATACAACAGGATTTTGACAGAACAGAGTTAGGAGTTTTAAATTCTTACCTGCAATTTTCAGCTTTAGGGGGTAACTTCTGAGAGAAAAACAACAATAACTTAGTTCGAGAATATGAAAACATGCTGAATTTCCTCTTGGAATTTTATGTTCCTAGGCATTTATCAAGCCTCTTTCCTGATGAACAAATTAAGCTCTGATACCAAATTATGAGCCTTATAAAATCTACCACATTTATCCTTTTGCCTTAAGTACAAAGGAAGCTTGGGGGAAAACACTGATCAATTTCATTAATTATTAGCTTAGGTATTTATTGTATCCAGGCCTTCTCCCTGTGTGTTTTATTTAAGTTCTGTTTCTATTTTAAGATTTTATTGTACATATGACTACATCCCTCCTGGATGTTTACTTCCTTGCCCCGGCTTCTGACACTGCTCTTACTTTCTGCTCTTTTCTGACCATTTCTTCCCTTCATTTTTTTCTCTTCCGTCTCCTCTGCCTACTTTGGAATGCCAATGTTTTCCAGGATCTCTGCTCTTCTCTCTGAACATGCAGCCCTTGGAGTTCTTATATTCTCTGAGGAGGTCAGCTGCTCCCTGGATACTGATGACTCCCAAAACAGTACTTCGAACTGCACCCTTTTCCTGCATTTGATTGAGATTCAAATGCATCAACCTGCTTGTTAGGCAAACTGTGCTTGCGTGTACCCCACAGTTGCTCAGTGATTGTAAATGGGAACTCAATACCTTTCTCCCAGACTTTCCCTTCTCCACTCCTGCCCCTGTCGCCAGTCTTAGTGGGCAGCTCAGGCAATGGCCAGGCGTCTCAAGCAGGAACTGCTGAGGTATCAAAGACTTTCTTCTCTTTCTCATTCTCACATTCAACATCCATATCCTGTTGTTCTCCCTTCTAAGTATTTCTGAAATCTCTCTCTCTCGCTTCAGTTTTACTGGCTCTGAATTTCAGACATGGAATTAGATGATAATTCAGACATGGAATTAATGATAAATCTTGGCTGTTCCCTTATCCTCCTAACTGGACCATTTCATGCTTAAACATTTCTGTGGTTTTCACGGCTGCTTGCCATCTGACAGGGAGGCCATGCTTTTTCTTGCTTCCACAGCTTTGCTGTTGCTATTCTCTCCACCTGAAACACTGTTGCCAACATTCTCTGCCTGGTTAATTCTTTTTTTTTTGAGACAGAGTTTCATTCTTGTTACTCAGGCTGGAGTGCAATGGCGCGATCCCGGCTCACCGCAACCTCCGCCTCCTGGGTTCAGGCAATTCTCCTGCCTCAGCCTCCTGAGTAGCTGGGA